TCATGCTCTGTCTCTCTCTGTCTCAAAAATAAATAAAAAACATTCAAAAAAAATTTTTTTAAATAAATGAGTATTAAAATAAATAATAAATGAATAAAGACATTTGTGTGTCTGAGTCTCAAACAGCTTACCTACGTGGGAGCTCCGGAGAGAGAGGTCAGGTAGGCGCTTACTGCAATGAGCCTGAGGTTCGTGGAGAGGGCAGGGGTGGAGAAACAAACACAGGCAGCACCGCACACAGATGGTGTTTAAAGACCAGCACCTCTCAAAGTCTGATGTGCCTACGACTCGCCTGGGGGCTTGGCTAAAATGCAGATACTAATGCTGACTTCTGAAGCTGGGTCTGAGATTCCGCATGTCTAACGAGCTCCTGGGTGACAGTAATACTGCTGGTCCATAGACCACACTTGGGAGTGGGAAAAATCCGGACCGGGTTAACGAACTGTGGCCAAAAGGTCAACTCCACCGCATGGCCTGTTTTTCCACATACAGCAAGCTAAAAGTGGTGTTTTCTTTCTTTTTTCCCTTCCCCCCAGTCACAATGGAGAACTTTACTGGACTCGGCTCAGCTCGAGAGCCTTAAAGGCCCAGCACGCTGGCCCGCGGCTCTGGGCAGCCAGAGCTGGAGGACGGGATTCCATCCGACGAGTCTCAGAGCGAACGGTAACCCCACAACCCAACACTCTACCTAAGATTACCTAGTTGGGAGACAGGGCTGCGCCACGACGCATGAACAGATCAAATCTTTGTTAAGTAAGAAACATCCAGTGAAGAGAAAACGACAATTTAATTCACCCGTCTACACACAGCACTCTAGGGCAGATAAGTGGGGGTGTCTGGCCTGGGTGGGTAATGAGTGGGCCGGGATGTCCACGGCACCGGGCAAGCAGGGGCGAGGCCAAGGGTAGCAGACAACAGGCACCAGGACACTGAACTTTTACAAGACTGACTACTGGGGGGGTGGCTGTCCCGTGTGTGCGTGTCAGGCTGTTCGTTTCAGAATGAGGGGGTGGTCTTGACATCGCCTTCTGTGGCTGGTGCACTCAGAGAGAGGCTACTTTGTAGGGAGGATGAGGGCGACAAGGAGACTGCAGGGGCCGCGCATCTCGGAGAAGATGAGGGTCAGGATCATGCCCATGAAGAGCAGGGGCTGCTGGGCCATGCCATGCACACCGGAGTCCCCACAGCCACCAGCCCGCTCAGGCCAGCACCCAGCTGGAGGAAACTCCTCTGGAGACTGCTCCCATCATTCAGGGAATCAGCGACAAGGACCGCCACCACTAGCCCGTAGATGGCGATGATACCAGCGACAATGTGGGGATGATGGACTTCACGGTCAGTTCTGGCTGCATGACAGACATGGCCACGATGCTGGGCCACTCTTGGCCATGCCGTGGGCGGCACCCAGGGCGCTGAAGACCATGGCGGCCAAGGTGCCCGTGAACGTGAAAAAGGAGGTGTACTTGGGGCCATTCTTGGCCTTGAACGTGCCTGCGGGTGGGGAGAGGGTGAGCTCAGGGGGTCAAGGGGGCGGCGAGGATGGGCTGGGCACAGCAAGCGAGTGGGAGGTGCACAGTCAGGTGGCTATGAAGGTGACCCGGCTCGTCAGCTGCTGCACCCTGAATGAAAATTGCATTTTCATTTTTAAAGCAGTGGTTTAAAAAAAAAAAAAGAAAAGGGGCGCCTGGGTGGCTTACTCGGTTAAGCATCTGACTCTTGATTTCGGCTCAGGTCATGATCCCGTGGTTTGTGAGACCAAGCCCTGCATCGGGCTCTGACAGCATGGAGCCTGCTTGGGATTCTCTCTCTCCCTCTCTCTCTGCCCCTTCCCCGCTCGCGTGCTCTCTGTCTCTCTCTCAAAAATAAATAAGCATTAGCCGCTCTGGAAAACAGTGTGGAGGTTCCTCAAAAAATT